CCCACAGACGCCACCTTCCTTCTTCTGGTTACCAATTGAAGAGCTGCATGCCATGATTTCTCTTTGCAGCCTTTGGTACACACCCATGAGTGGTCTACAGGTATTCTGAACCTATAACGGGTCATTCTTCATAGGCTTGGGACAACTTTTTGATAGGCTTCATTGCTAGAGTGGCCTTACTCTGAAGACTAATGTCTGCTCAGTCTGTTACACTGAACCTGTATATGGATTCAGGGAATCAGCCAGGACAGCATTGTAGGAGCTGTCATCGCTGTACCGTTTTTGAAGGCGCAAGCTATGGCTCTGAAATCTTCATCCTTGATTCGCTGCCAAGAAAATGACTGACCTGGAACAAATATGGAGGCAAAGAAGCCACAACTAGCAACCTGCATACTGGTCTCGGGGCACAGAAGCAAGGATGAGGATGGCAGCATAGGCAGCTATCATATGTCTATCCTGACCGCACAGGTCACACACAGCTAAGGACATCATGGCATTTCTTTTCTATACTAGACCCAGTAATGGTACCCCGTAGATGAAAGAAGGAGCCAGGCTTGCTGGATACCAGTGTGTAGGCTCTATATAGATTTGCAATGATATGGAGTTGAGACTTCTATCATTATTATTTTAGATGAAGACCCTAAATCGGGCTGCTAGAACTATCTTATTTTAAAAAATGTGCTGCGATGAGTCCATTCCTTTCAGCGTTTAAAGCCATTGCTGACAGGTAGAGTAGCACAGCCCTGCATCCCACATAAGCTGGATGGGCTGGTCTACTGCAGCCATAAGGTGGAATTTTTCTGGAGCTCAAATGCTCTAGAAGATAGAGAAGGGGATTTAGAAAAAAGCTAATGGAAAAACATTACGTGAACCCGACTAGGTGTTAGCGTCCATTTTGCAACATGTACTGGGGACACCTTCCATCGGGTGCACATTTGATGTCATGTTCCGGCTCCCATGTATTTCCAGCACAGCTGATAACAAGGCAATTTTCCCCAGGGTTTAACAGAGACACAATGGACACGTTTTTGATCCCAGGTGACTGAATGACCATCATTTCTATTCTAGCCATAGGGCAATCAGTTTCCAATCACCGTCTTTTAGGCGTTTATTTCCACTTGTATTGATAACATTTCTCAACACTAATTGCTTACAGAGCATGATGCTCTTATAAGGCGTGAAATCATTGTGACCGAAGACTCCCACTTTGCACCCCAACGATCTCCTCTGCGCCTAGACTGTTGCGGATGTCATCAGATTATGATCGAATCTGCTGAATCCTGTTGCGAACTGTCTTGTGTATGGCCAGGCTGCTTTGCCTAAAGCAACCAATCAGCTTCTGCCTTTCATTTAACCACCTTGCGCCGGGAGCCTGGTTGATGTGGGCAACGCAGGCTGTCGGGGTCAATGGTTCCCTCATAAACTTTGACAAATAAGAAACCTGCCCCCCCCCCATCAACATCTATCACTCAGCTCTACAGTCAAGGCCTGCATCATGTGGTATTAAGTGGTTCTCTTTTACATCTTTGCTACTGCAACCTGATCACAAAATCAATTGCAGATCCTATAGACTTGCTGACACATCACCCCCAACCTGCACCGTACTCTCAGTTCATGACACCAATCCCAGGCACATAGGGCTCTTCTATAAGCCAAATAATGGCGTGTGCAAGAGCAGGAACCCATAGCAACCTGTCAACAGATGTCAACAGCCTTTGATCCGGCCCCGGGGAACTGAAATCTGATTGGCTACCGTGGAATGCAGAGCTGTTTCTGGCCGAAACTGCACCTCACAGGCTGCAAGCTCCCCGGGCCACAGATTAATACTGCATAGAGATGAGCCTGTGCTACGTTTCATTCACGTTAAAACCTGTCATGGCAGGAGAGGCGGCAGCGCATAGAGCCCCCAGGCGCTGTACACACAGCCCTAAGAGAGTGTCTGCAGCAGACCAACCCTCTGCTGCCTCATACACAGCCAGGAAAACAGCCAAAGGGTGAATATATCGCTGGACGTCACCATCCAAAATATCAGAGACCAAAAACGACACCTCGATGGGGAACTTTAACCTCACTTTCTGCAGACACTGGGCTATTGGAAAAGTACAGCTAAATGCTGCACTACTGGCCATATTTATTAATGGAGCCGTGCACTGCAGTGCTATATATAGAGCCATACATGTTTTATATAGGAGCTCTCCCAAAACACAGCTACACACATAGCACTGTCTGTACCAGCTGACCATTCTGCTGCTGCATTTCTGTGTGATATCTCTGCACAAACCCTTCTGTTCTGTATATCTGTCTGTATACACAGGGCTCCTACCCTGCTGTACTGTACAAGACCTGCCAGAGTGCCCCTGCACAGCACATATACAGGTAACGTGTGTACAGAGATCGGGCGCATCAACCCCTATACCACAGCAGAGAGAAAGATAGATAGATAGATAGATAGACAGACAGACAGACAGACAGACAGACAGACAGACAGATAGATAGATAGATAGATAGATAGATAGATAGATAGATAGATAGATAGATAGAAAAAAAGAGAAAAAAATAGATAATAGATAGATACAGATACATAAATAGATGAGTATGAAATAGAAGAGAAAAATGGAATAAGTAAATGGATACAACTAGATAAAGATAGAAAGGATAGATGTAGATAGAGAGATAGATAGATATATCTACAGTCTATTACTCCACCACTTCTTAATGTGCATAAATACATCCACAAATTCAGATATACAATATACACCAGTATGTGTGCAATAGCAGGAAATCCTCATATACTGCTGCATAAGGCAAGCACTCGTCTACAATATAGAGCTGGTCACCTGAAATATGCACATACACACACACACATAGATATATATATATATGTACAGTAACCCACAGCAGTCAATCAGAACCCCTTTCAGCAGTATAGTAAACTCAGGCCCTTTATAAGACGAGTGCTGAATGGTTGCTATTAGTTATCACACTTATACCCATGTCACGCATAGTTCCTGTACTCAAATACAGACCTGACCCATTTCTATCATGGTTCAGTTCAAGTCTCATTGGGCGCCTGGCCCATTATAACCCCCTCCCCCCCTCCGCCC